TAGATTTGGTCATCTGATTCAGATCATTTGTTATTTCAAAAAAAATTTTTTGTCGATTTGGTCCTTTTTCCCAGCACTCACCCCATGTGTTCAAAAGGTTAGATTTTTAGTAAAAGTTAGATTTATTATATAGTTAGTCGAGAGGTTAAACTTTTTTTGCGATTAGATTTAACATATAGGTAGTTAAAATGTGTAATTTTTTTGTTCTAGGATTGTATAAATGAAATTGGTTTTCTATATATTGATAAATTGTTAACATGCTAAAATATAATCATTAAACTTTTGATTTGCAAACTAGATAACAGCTAAATATAACCTCTTTGAGGCTAGACTTAGCATATGATATACATTTTAAGCTTACATGATCAGGTTCAGCTCAAATAACGTTACTTTATTCCTTGATTTTTGATGGCCTCTTTAGAGGCAAGCAGAATAGCATAAAAGTTATTATTCATATTGGATTTGCAATGTCAGGTCTAGCTCAAATTACGTTACTTTGTTACTTGATTTTTGATAGTCCCTCCTGAGGCAAATAGAATAGTAAAAATTTTTTAATATATTATTTGGGATTAAAATCAGGCTAGAATAGCTATATTAAACAGTATAATTCTTGGTATCAGACAGGCCAATTTCTAGCCAAGTTCGATATCATCATCTAAATTTGAGTCAAATTGTGCTAAAGGCTTGAATTCAATAATTGATTCATATAGCTAAATTAATTCGTAAGTGGAAAAGAATCTTTCTGAGTACTATTTGGAATTTTATCTCAAAAATCCCATTTTTATCGTAGTATTGAATTCATCAAGAATTATATCGAAAATGAAGGTGAATATATTTGCTAGTATTATTCTAATGAATGAGAGATTTGTATGTAATTATCCTTGCGAGCAGAAGGGTGTAGTATTTATTGGAAAGGATACCAGTAACTTTTATGCAAACAAGATAGATATGAAAAAGCAACAGTATCTAAAATATAGTTTTTGTAATATGTATATAAATATTATTAGTAAAAGAAATTAGATAAATATTTTAAGACAGGTAAACACCAGAAGTATTGAAATAGGCTCTTGATAAATTGTTGTAACAAGTTAAGTTATCCTTAAAAAGTTATTCTTAGAAAAATTTTGCATCTATGAAAAATTTATAGAAATAACAAAAAAACTTAACAAGGATACTATTAGTATAACAAACTGACAATTTTAAAATTCTGTGAAAGCATTTTACTACTTGTTCTTATGTCTTTATGAGTCCAGATGAATTTTTAAATTCTTTACTTTTTATTTTTATTTTTTTTATATTATATATTAATCATATATCAATTATATCAATTGTATATATGACTATATTTACTTTAAGAATTTTATATTTTATAGAACTCATAGGAACATAGGAACAAGTAATAAAGAACTTAATAAATCAAAATAAGAAATCCAAAAATGATATTAAGATCATCCCTATAAGCTTCCTTATGAATTTTTTTTACAGGAACAGAAAATTTTTATAGTGACACTCAAAAAATTAGCATAAATACCTCTATAAAAAATTTCTTGATGATAAAATTTATAGCTATTTTGCATTTTTAGAATCATTGAAAGATTTTCAGATAGGTATTACTATGTCACTAAGATATTACTAACAAATTTTTTATAGTGACAGAAGATTTCATAATGATAAAAAATCTGATAACAGAAGGTGTTCTAGCTTCAGAATAATATCACGTGACTGGTATAATAAGGCCTAATATAAATTCAATTAATTTTGACCAATACTGTTTTATAATTTTATCAAGATTTTTGGATATAATAACTCAGCATCCAAACTAGCATATAAGTGATCTAAAACTGGCAAACTAATAGAAGCTCTCTGGCTTCCTACCAGTTCTATAACAGTTTCCTACTAATTCTTCAACAGTTTGAATCAAATATCCAAAAAATCAGCTAAAATTATAGTATAGTACCAGCTGAAATTAATTGCAGATCTACTATACTACTTGATACATATTTTTTTATACTATTTCGGCAATTTGAAAAATAACCAAATAGGCATACATTTATAACATAAAACTTAGCATTTTCACCATAGAAGCTGGTCCAAAAACTGACATAGTGAGTTAACATCTTTGTTATAGAAGTCAGATCTTAAACTAATGTAGTAAGTCAGTATCGCCACTCATAGAAGTTGACCTTCAAGCTGACACAAAAAGTAATAATGTAAATTATAATAGAATCCATTTATTAACGCATAACAATTCTTCAAAATATAAAGAAAAGTTCAATGGTAATCTAGTTTTATGAATAGCAATCATAACTTTAATTTTAACTTTATAATAACTATAATTTATGTTGTTAAAAAAACTAAAAGAAAAAATAGATTAATATGTAATAATAAGATTATTGCATTTTATTTTCCTTTTAAGGATTTTTGCTTTTTATTAAATATAGTATTTCATTCTGCTTTCTTTTTCTAACATCTATTATTTTTTTTTCACTTAATAAATTTCATAAGTAATCCTTTCTTTTCTTAAATAAGCTTTAAATGGTTATTTTGAAAAATATAATGTAATTTTTTCATCTTATTCCTTTTTTAAAATACTTTGAATAGTACTATAATTCTTGGGTTTTATAGTAAACCTAATGTAAATTAGTTTTATATTACATAACTATTTTTATTTAGAGATGTTTCCTAAACAAAAAAGCAAATTTCATGATTACATTACATTGTTAATACAATTGTGTGTTAAACAAACAATAATGATTCTTATTAATATAAATATTCACTTTGTCTGGTTTTGTTGCAGCATATCCCATTTAATCCTATTTTATTTTTTTGTCTTTCTAATAAATATTTTTAAGATTGATATTTTTTTTATAGAATTATTAAAATTATTAAAAAGTCTTTTAAATTTTGATTAAAAAAATGCAGAGATACATTTTTTTAAAACTTAATTCTTAAAACCAATAAATTAGTGGATTAAACAGAAAATTCTTTCAATATTATGATATTACTTTATATTAAACAAATCTAGCTTTAATTCTGTTATAAAAATTGATATCCTGTTTACCCTTAAGTTATTCCTAAATATTCAGATAAAAGGGTCAAATTCTCATATGAACCGGAAAAAAACATAATTCTTCAGGAATTTAACGTAATATAAATATTGAATTTAGCTTTACGAATTTAATAATTAATCGCAATAAGGACCAATCGATGACAGTTTAAGAATTTTTACAAACTTTACTATGAAATCAATTCTGCTAAATCTGCACGCATCCGGTGTGCTTTTACGTTTCCTTCCTAGCTCGTTGAGGTTTGCATTCTTACTCCCACACGGGGAGTGGGATGGTTATTATTACAACTGAAAGTTGATAAATCGGTTCAAAAGATATAATTAATGAATCGACACTTTAATGTTATATTTTGATTCGAAAAAGTTATCATAATGAAGACAAGTACAGTAGGAAAAGAAAGTATTCGCGATTTTGGATATTAATATTTTTTTTTCCTACTGAACATAATAAATGACGACAGCTGCGCCGAATCTTTGATAATTGCTACGCCTAAACTAAACTATACCATATCGGGCCTGAAACCCTTAAAAAAAAAAGGATTCAAAAAAATAAATGGGTGATATTTGAATCAGAAAAAAAAGGAAATAGAAAAACAAATGACAATATTTATTGTTTTTGTTTAGCCCAATTTATTTATGTACTATTTGCTTATGTCATTCTATCAAAAAAATGTATGATATACAAAAAATTTTTTTTTTTAATATATAAATTATATATAAATGTAATACATACATATTATATAATTTTAGTATTTGTTAAAATATACTGTCTGACGAATTCGAGTCTATATTAAAAGTCTAATTTCGGTCTAAATAACATCATCGCTCGGGATCCGTCGTTTTCATTTTTTTATTTCATATATATATATATATAAAGAAAAGGAAAAAAAAAGAAAAAAAAAAAAAGAAAAAAAAAAAGAAAAGGGACAATAAATAAAAGAAAGGTATATATATACACGAAATTTTTCTGGAAAGGGAAAAAAACTAATAAAGTAAAAGCAAAATTTTTGTTTACGAAAAAAATTTTTTTTTTTTTTAAGAAATTTGCGATTATACGGGAAATATGAAGATTATATAATTTTAATAATAATGCGATTAATGCGAATATTCTTAATTATTTTTTTTTTTAAAAAAAAAAATAAATAAAATAAATTTAGGATAAAATATAAAAATTTTTTTCTTCCGCAAACGGTAAAAACCGATTTGGAAACCGAGTTACGGCGACGAATTAAAAAAAAAAAATAATAAAAATGAAAATTTAAAAAAATAATGGTGGTCAAAGTCCGTCCTTTAATACACATATTGAATAAAGGAAGCGATCAATCCTATTGACTAATTTAATAAATCGCGGATCTTCATCGACGAAGTTCCAGCCACGGATGAAAGAGACGAATTCGAATCACCGACACCGACAAATTGTTGAAGATCCGTTACGCCCCTTGAATGATTGCCATAATAATATGAATGACGCGAATCATCGATTTCTCTCTTAATTGATGGTTCACCCATATTCCACTCGGAACATGGCCCACCTCTTGATCCCACCACCGGATAAGGAGAGAGATTTCTGTTTATCACGCGATATTGCCGGTCAGAAAGAGGGATATTCACTCCATCTAGGAGACCCTCAGCATTAGGTTTATCATTTAATTCAGCCAAACGGAACACATCATAACTTCCAGAAGTTGATCCGCTTGCATTCACGCTCGAATAAGACGGTGAAGAAGGTGAAACCAAATGTACAAGATTTTGTTCGGTTTTTTTCTGGGTAAAGAATTTTGATTTATTTGGTAATAAATTTGAAGTCGGAGGAGGAGTCATTAATGACGCGGAAGATGAAACAACCACCGGAGGAGGTACGGTTAAAGTTAAGGGCATGCCATTATTTCCGACTACACCGCCATGATGCAAGTGATGATAATGATGATGTTGCTGACTAAGATGATGATTGTGATGGTGATGATGATAACCACTCTCACCATCATCATCAATATCAACCAATCTACCTGCCATATTGTCCGATGGGGTATCGCTACCACCACTATCATCATCACCAAGACCCGATCCACCTAATTGATGTAAACCCACTTCACCCGGTCTACGTTTTTGCACACCACCTCTCGCGAACACGCCATCATGATACGAAGACATATACTCGGGATCTATTGTCCAATAACCACCTTTACCCTTGCTAGCCGTCGATGATGACGTTGAGTGACCCAATTCGGTATCAGAACGAGGTACCTTTTTGAAACACTTATTTAATGATAGATTATGACGAATTGTATTCTAATTAAGATAAAAAGGAGTGGGAAAAAGAAAGGATGGTGACACAAGGTAAGTTTAAGAACAAACATCATTACTAAAAACAAACGTTACAACAAATAAATAAATAATAATTGATTAATCGGGGGGAATTGGGAGTTACCCCAGAACCAGTTTTGGGACAAGAAAGGTGATTGACGCCTTTTTTTTTTTGACTAACCTGCCAACCGGTATCATCCGCTTTGTACAATTGCGGATATCTCTCCATTATCCATTGATAAACTTCTCTTAATGTCAATCTCCTGTCAGGTGAATCTAAAATGGCCTGAGCTATGAGTGATGAATAAGAAAATGGGGGACGACGTCTTCGCCTAGGAGGCCTATTATTTAACTCGGGTTTGACAGTTACGAAAGGTTCGGATATGACATTTTGTGAATTGTGATTCCTTTGGAATGGGCGTATTGGGGTGGGTGATTGCTGTGAATTTGATATTTGTGAATGTGGATGATGTTGTGGTGATTGTAAATTATATTGTTGTGATGATGGATAATGTTGAATTTGTTGTTGTGACCTACGACACGAAGGTTGTGCCGGGGAATGTGATTGCGAATATTGTGAATAAGAATAAGTAGGCTGAGAATAGAATGAAGCTGGTGGTGATCTTTGATAATATGAAGGTTGTGATTGAGATAGTTGTGCTGGAGGTTGTGTTGGAGGTGGCTGTTGAGGTAGTGGTGAATAAGAAAATGAAGAAGTTGAAGAAAATGAGGAATTGGAAGATGCCGAGTATGGCGTCGTCGGTGTTGATTGCGGTATGTTCATGGAAAGTGAGCTGGAGGAAGAATAACGAGGTTGCGTTTGTGGTGGTGGTTGTTGCTCACTTCTTTCAACGTTTGAATGACCTTTAATATTATTATTATGATAAGAGTTACCCGTTGAAGATATTATTGGTGGCAAAGTATGATTGTAGGAAAGCGTACTGATGGGAGGTAAAGTTGGAAGAGTTGTCATGGTTGGAGAGGAAGAAACTCGCGGTGTATTGTAAATAGTAGTTAGTTGCATGCTATTGGTCGTTCCGCGAACGTGAAGTTAATATAAAGGTGGAATGATGTCTAGTGGTAGAAGTGAGTAGCGTTCAATGTTTGGGTACCGAGACATGTAGTTTATAAAGAGAATAACGATCTAGTCATTTATAAAGTCTATGTACAAAAAAAAATATTTATTATCTTTTTTTATTCTTTTTATTTTTATTTCCTTTTTTTTTTCAATAAATAAATTTTTTTTTATATATAAATTATAAATGTCGAGAATAAGGGGAGGGGGGAAAATAATAAATAAATAAATAAAATAAATAAAAAATAAGTTTGGGGTCTTGAAAAAATCAAAGAATAAAAAATTTGATTCAAAGACAAAAAATAAAAACTTTCGTGATGAAATAATTTTTAAGGGGGGAGGGGGATGATGTGCATAAATAAACTTTTTTGAATAGAAGGTTTTTTTTTTTTTTTAAATACACAAAAAAACTTTAACCCCAAACCAAAAAAAGCGAGATATCAGCAAACAAAAAAAAAAAATGAAAGAAAAAAACTATAGTCGGAAATTCAGAATGCATCAAATCATGGCTGACAAGTCAAATTTATATCTGAGTTTTGATGAGTTTGTTAGTTATTTGTTTATTTATTGACTAATACAGTTCTCATTACAACATCTATTCCTACTTCAGATAAGAAGTTAAAATCATTTACAATAGGAGTCCACATAAAAAAAAAAAAACAAACATTTATACATCATCATAAAGTATATTTTCTTTTTTTGAGTTTATTAAAAAAAGGTAACTTAATCAACACAACACACCATAACACAAACACAAACAACTTGTAGTTAATTTAGGTAAACCAAATATTTATATGACCATATCACAAAGGAAATATCACAAAATTGATTAGTATTTTTTTTATGTATATGCTAAAATTTGATAAGTACACAACCATTTCTAGTTAATCGAATGAAATCCTAAAATTAATGGTTTTTTTTTCCGGAATTGATATCATAATGAGATTTGCTTGTTGATAATTATTTTGTTTGTTATTAATAATTATGAAGGAACAGTACGCAATTCAACGGGAAAGCCCGATAAACCACACCAAGGTATTTTATTCCCCGCTTTAATAGAGATGATGATGATGATCCTTATGACTACGCGCAAAAATGATGGCCTTCTTTGCTCGTAAATGGAATTTCCTATTTGTAACAAACAGAAAGGCACATGTCGCTCCCTTTTAAAAAAGAAAAATCATTCTCTTTAAAGGTTTGGAAAAAAGTTTGGGCGTAAAAGGTGATACGATAGTAAGCATTTTTAATTTAGCAAGAACCATTTATATGTGATAGGTTCTTTTGATGTTCTAGGCAATCCCTTAATAGTATTACAAACCAAGAGTAACAAATAAATTACAATATATGAATTACATGTTTTTTAACCTCATGTGATGTGCAAGATGAAACATTTGTTTCTTTTTGAAAGTTGTACTAAAATTAATAATTATGCTGTGATGGTAAATTCTTTTCCTTTTTCTCTTCATCCCGTACGCAACCCGACAGTCCGATCGCTCGCAGTATCAGCAGCAATTTCTTCGGAAGAAACCTACAAACAACAAACATTTATTATTGTTATTATTATTAAATTTTTTTTTTTTTTTTGAATGAATATCCTTTTATCATAATCTCTCTCTCAGGAATTTCTGTTCGATAGACCAGATGGATAAGATTTTCTTGATTACAGAATTAAAGGGAGAATTCCACCAAACAAAATAATAATAACAATAATATCCTTTCTCCCATTAATTTTCAACTCAACATTATTAATTACAACGGAAACAACACGGACTGTGCGTGAATAAAAATAATAAAGAAAAACAAAGGAGTAAAAAAAAAAATAAAAAAAATTTGAACAAACAAACAATCCCCATCAATCAATCACCAAATTAACTTTTATCGGAAAAGAATTACTTGATCAATAATTTATGTGGTGTCTCTATGCGATTAAATTTGTGCAAGTTTCCATGTAATGGCCTATCATGATTTACATAAAGATAATAAAAAGGTGATAAAACTGGTGCTCGTTGATTCGCTCATAATATTGCCTTCATACATTTCAAATTTATCTAATCTCATTTATTTATATTTATCCTAGTTTATCTTTTTTTCAATTTGTATCATGCACGTGATCTACTTTGTATCACTATCATGCTTATCTTTGTCGAAACACTAGATTGATAATTCTAACTTTCGGGAATGAATCCCAAGGTAGGTTAGTTGAAGTTCATTGGATTACTTCAAGCAAGAAAATTTAAAATAAAGATTCCCTCACATTTTTTTTTTTGTACTAAAAATTTCTAGGTATTCCCGATTGGTATCACGCGAAATCATTTACCCCACCTTTTTTTCCATTCTTTCAAACGGCTGTGAAACGGACGAAACCGACATGACGGCATATCCAAACCTAATTAGTAAAAGAAACAGATCACTTACATTTTTTATGGACTCACTTGGGCAGAAAAACTCGCACCAAAAAAGGGCACATGCCAATTTTAATTTACGATATTAAAAAAAAAAACAAACATTTTCTTATCGGAATTTTTCAATTAATGGTTGCATATAAATTTGTCTCTCTTTCTTATCCAAAATTTTAAATTTGATTATAAACAAACAACTTGATATTTATAGAAAAAAACACCATCAATTGGCCGTTCTTACTGCGCCATAATTTTTATGTTTAAATTTGTAATTGATATCCTTATTAAGAAACTGGTTACATGAATTCGATTGTTTTCCTGAAACTATCTCACATATTAATTATAAATATAAATAAATTATATTTTGCATTATTTCTTATGAAACATGACAAATATATATAACTTGGAGACAATTTTTAATACATTTATATACATTATGTATAAAAAATAGAGAGGTGGGGTGGTATTGCATAATTTCACATGGGCATGCGACAATGACGCCATAAGGGAATCGCAGGGATTCTAATAATTAGACGCCACTGTAGTCATACATAATCGAGTTTTCCCCATGACTTTGTATTTATTAATAATCTAAACCATTTTTGAAATTGAGTTCATCAAATTTCATCACGAGAAAATGAATTTTATTTATTTATTTTATATAAATATATAAACTAACTATATATTATGCATAGTAATTCTTCGGACAGTATTATTACATTAATTCAATTTATCAGATATGTGATCGATTTCAGAATTTTTGTGATTCCCGGGACACTAAAATCAATCCTCGGAACATAATCAAGATCATAAACTTTCCAAAATTATTATATGCTCATTACGCTCTAAAAAAAACATATCATTAAAAAACTTCATCCCTATTACCAAGTCAAAGTCATGCGTGAATCCAAGAGTTTTCGAATAATAATGCTCCAAGTCGTCTTTTACAAACCATCATAGCGGTTGCATCTGACTAATAAATGAGAAAGAAATTAGTCATCATTTATCAAGAGTTGATAAACTCGCCTAAATATTTACAATTTTTGAAGCACTCAACTTAAACCAATACACATACCTACAAAAGAATCAAAATTTCATATCCACTCCGTATTATAAAAAAAATCCAGCGAGCAATATGAAAGCTGTTCAAGGAAATAGTCAGGTCAATTATGGGTTGAAGAATCTTTATTCTTTGTCGATTTTGATTCACTAATGTGATCCATCCTGATCATAAAACTTTTCTTTCGCGTTTTGGATTCTTCAAACTTTCAATATAATTCACGCATTAAACAAGAACAGTTGTTTCTCGCGCTCTTTCTAAATTATTTATTATAATAATAAATAACATAAATTTCTTAGAATCTTGTAAATCTAAAAGTAGAAACAAAATAAATCCACTTACAGGTACCTACCTTAAAAGCCACACATTCATGACAGATCTCTTTCTACATGAATTCACGCGCACCAAATGAACGTCGGCCGAACAAGAGAACAGAGTAGGGTAATCAGCAACTTCATGTAAGTTTTTCATTTAAAAAAAAATTTCTTCCTTTTACATTTTTAAAAGTTCTATTTTTATAATTTTAAAAAGAAAGAAGTCGAGAGAAAAATTAATCAAGCTTTAATATATATATATTTATTTATTTTTATAGTATGTATCACCATTTGGTTCAACGTCTTGTGGATGTAAGCAAGAAATTTGGTATCGTGTTCAAGTGTCTAACTTTTGTTATTTTTAGAATTTTACTGGGTTGCACAGAATTAACCTAATTTATAAACCTGTCGATCATTTAACATTTCGCGTTTTAACAATCTATTGAACTTACTAACTGTCTTTTTGGTATTTTCTGTTTAGTAATTTTTCTTCTAGTCCATCTAAAACAAAAGTATTGTTTGGATCCATATATCCATACTATCCATGAATATGCATCCTTGACCTAAATTTAAATATCTGTAATCCATAAATAAATTTAAGTTCAGTCCTACAATGATCGACATTCTAGAAGTTTATCAATTATTTCCTTTTATAATTCAAAAGGTTACTTTAGATTTTCTATTACATATTTCTTACCATTTATATTGTATCTATTTCATCACTATTAGTCACATTAAAAGATCCTAAATTTATCTTCTTTTATTAATTTTATTTTCTTGAATTGTAATCAATTGGTTTCATTTAAAGTTTTAATCAATATTTTAATCACAAATATTAGCTCTTCGTTTTTCATTAAACTTTTCACTAACTATAATTATACTTAGTAAAAAGTAAAGTAATAGGAATAGGATAAGTAAATTCTGATAATTTAGTTTTGCTAAGTTTTTTTTTTATAAATTTTATATGTTAAGCTTAAGTTATAAAGCTAAATAATTTAATTTCTTCACTTAATTTACTCTTGTCAAAACTCTCAAAATAATGATTATTTTCAGCTAAATTTAAAAAGTTAATTTTATAAATTAAGTTTGAAAATATTGTAACTTTATTACATAATCTAAATATTT